CTTCATTGCGACATTGCGACTATGTTAATTCCATTTCTTTTTTTTTCTTTTTTTTTTTAGGCAAACTATTCTGGGAATTGTTGTTAATCTTTTCCACAATCGCCAGGTGCATAACGCACGCACATTTGGTTTGTTAGAAAATTGTTTAGTTCTCGTGCAAATTCATTTCGTCAAATGTGGAATTTTCGTTGGTTCTTTCATTGCTTTCAAGTTTATTTCCTAGTCAAGTTAACGATTCTACCATTGTCGGTCAGCAACATGAGGTCAGCTGCACACTAAATACTTTTGTGCTACTTTGTAATTGTAAAATTTATATTTAAAATGTAATTAAAATACATTTAAACAATTCATAAATTGATGAATAATGGACCACATGTGCATTTTTGGTCAATATATTGCACACAAACATACTCATACACATACAATAAAACATAATTTATTATTGTTCACGTTGAGAATGAAAGCAAGCGCCCGAATGCCGTATCATTTAAATATAATACGTCTAAGCATTTGTATAATATAGTGTCAGCAAGTCACTTTCTTTACTTCCATGTCCACTCCTATAGATTAAAAATGTCACTACAAGTATGTATTTTTTTAAATATTGTTTTACATTTTTTGACAAACTTTTTTTCCCGTCAAAATGTTTTTTTCATTTGCAATCATCTATTAATAATTAAACAATTAACAAGTGAATTAAAAACTAAAACAACAAAAACAATAACATAGCGTAATAGAATATTTAATGTGTGGTGTATTTTCAGTCTTCTTGCTTTATAACTCTCATCTAATAAGTTTACAGCCTATATGCCAATATGCAGGGTGCAGGTTTAGCCTCTTTAAGTAGTTACTGCTAAGGCGTTTTACTTGATCTTCAACTTTCAGGATATGAAGATCGATATATAAAATGTGATTGTTCACAAACCAAAGGAGCATGAGACACAGTGTTACAGTGTGTGCTATCGTTAATTTTAAAGTTCTACAATGACATCTCTGCAATATTTCTACATTAGAATTGCCTCATATTCCTTACGGCTCATATTTGTTTTAGAATGATTTTTGTAGAATAAAACCTTGGAGTTTGGTCCTAAAAGCAAATGCAGTTTCTATGTTTTCACATTTAACTGTTGTCGTCTTGACGATACCTGGCTTTTACCAACTTAATCTCGTTTGTCAATGTGGAGACCAAGTTGGATGATAGCCATTGAAAACTCTTAGGCCATCTAAAAAGTAGTTTTCTTTTTTTGTACTTTAAAAGAAATGAAAGTCAATATATTTTATTCAAAATATTTTTATTGTCATTCATGAAAAAATTGACTAAAGATATTTTTGAATATAATTTTTTTAAATAAAATTATTTAGAGAGAAAAATGTCCTTTACTAAACAAAAAAGTTTAAAAAAAATATTTTTTCCTTAATATATTTTTTTTGAATATAACACGGATTTATAGAACAATTTTTTATTAAAATTTTCGTTATCACCATCCGAAAGTGCAAGGCTGTGCGCAGCTCATTTTATGTCGCAGACATTAGTGCACGTGTGCGCATTACGGACGAAAGCCATTAACCGGGTTTACAGAAAAGAGCTTTTTTGCCAATAGTTTGAAGATGGAAGGACACGTAATAGAACAGAAGCGATTCGAAACAGGCCTCGAACAGGATTCGAAATTGTCGCCAAAGCAAGTAGATGTGTATTCCCTTGCTTCAACAGTACCTCTATTATAGATTCTACTATTGATCCGGGCGTCGCTTCCGGTTGTATTTTTACCTGCCTGTTGTACATGATCATCAATGTAACGTTAATCCATCGTCTGATATGGATACTCGAAGGAGCCCTTTTGAAAATTCGTCTAGAACGGCGATGATGGTTGCACTTTCCAGAGAGAGAGATATAGTTTCTGAAAAGAAGGATACCTCCAGTAATGTTCTATGCTTACCGTTAAAGTACATTGTGGACTTGATAATCAAATTAATTCTGCTCGAATTACAGTTACCGGCGTTAATTAATAAGTAGATTATTATTCGTGACTTGTATATTAATATAGTCGGTTGTTAATATTTTTTTCTTTCTGCCTTTTACGTCAACAACTGAATGACTTTTAATATTTATTCTCGATAGATGATTCAAATCGTTCTTTGAAATCGATGTTGCTTAGCTTATGCAAAAAAGACTGCTACTCAATACAGTTCAATTGGTCTTAGGACGACTCGTTGATACTCCCGGCACATGGCCATCAGCTGTCAATTAATCTTTTTCCAATTTCTAATTCTTGAACGAAGAGTTGAACGCCATGATCATCTATATTAAATTAAGCATATAACATTTAATCAATTGACTATCGTTGTATACATTGTAGACATAGAGGGAGACATTGGGTTGTAAACTCGCTGCAGGTCTACCTGCATTTGACATAGGCGGCTCTTTTCCGGGCATTTGGGGAGAAGGCTTGAAATTTTCTGGAATAAATTGTTTCCAAGTAATGAATTCTTTTTCCCCATGCTCTAGAAAGCTTAAATCATCTCTTAACCCAACAGAAGTAAAAACTTTATGCAAAGTTTATGGTGGCTTCACTCTCCTTATAGCCACTGCACAGCGTACAAGTAAATTTGTAACTATGTTAAGGCGGTTGCATGGTACTTCAAATGAGAAGATGGGATGGGAAAGGCCATCGATGATCGAAATGACAAACAAATCCCGCTACGGTTGATCACTTCTTTTCATACTTGTCTTGATAGCAAACGCATTCATAGCCTGATTGAGAAAAAGTTGGTAAATTGTTAGATGAAATTTTGTAATGCGAAAAGACAAACCCAACGAACTGGCAAAATGTTCGCGACCAAGCATACAGCGTTACTAGGTAATAAGTGCAATTGTCAATGAAAAATATGAAATAAGATTTATTACGAAGATGTTGGCAAATATTCCTCTTTACACTATACACTTTACGCAGAACCCACATAAACCCATATATACTCGTAATTAAAAACCTTTCATATATCTATTCATCGGTATGTGTGACGTATGCGAAATTCTCGAAAGGAATGTTGCAACTCTGCAACTCTACACACATGTTCATCGTCCAATTTTAAGGAACAACTTGAAAATAATTACAATGCGCTTATAAATGTTCTTCATACACTCATTACAAATGGTGGGTGACTATTGGTAATTCACTCCAATACATGTATGAATGCATATGCAAGGGATTTTTGTAACGTTCCCTTACTTGTCGCTACTATAGGGGGGCAAAAAAAAAAGAAAAAAAAAAAAAAATTAACTTAAAATATACAAATAAAGTCAAATGGATGTTGTTGGGTATTTAAGATTCGTCCCAATTCGTATAAACTTGTGTGTTTATAGCTTGTTAGTTGTTTAAGTTAAAAGCAAAACATTTATTCTCATGTACTAAACCAACTAACATTCTATTGCATTTGTATAAGCTGACGTTTTAACAGAAATTTGACATTTATTGTAAAATATGGTAAAATTGTTCAATAGAAATTTGTTGAAGAAAATTTTATTTAATTTTCTATAAAATTGGATGGAACGAAGGAATGAGGGAAAATGAATTCACAACAATAAAAAGCGTATTTTTTTTCTTTTCTATTATTTATTTAAAGTTATTATTAATTATTAAGAGCAAGTTACTATACAATGAAGTGTTACGAGTCATACTAGTAAAGTAATTTTTAAAAAAATTGCGAAATATGGATCAAAGATTCTCGATGTTATTTAAATATTATAATAACTTTTCAATTAAATTATAACTATGTTATGTATATATGTATGCTATGACCTGTGATAGCTAACAGAGTTAACATTAACATCATACGAGCAGAAGAAGAGAAAAACCTAAACATTTTATGATTTTATAATTATGATCTGTTATCTGACACTGGAAGAACATATGCGAAGAGGACATCGATATACACTTGAGATCATGATATCGTCGTTGGCTGAAGTCATAGGCCGACATACATTTGACATTTCTTTATATTTTGAAAAATGTTTAATCTCTAATGAATGAATGTAAACGATCTATAAGCTCAAGGTCTGCGAATGTGTTGGTTTCAGTGAAGTAATTGTGTATGTAAAGGAGCTTTGATTTAAGTGAAGTAACACTACGGCTGTTATCTACAGTCTGAACAAAAGATTGCCTATATACTCTACAGTCTGGTTAGGAGAATTTGATCTATTACTTGGTATCTATTGCCTACTGAGTTTTTGATCGAGATAACTGAGAAAAAATATTACATTTTGTTTTTATAACATTTTTGGAGAATTGTTCCTCGTCGCTGGAGAGTGAAAAGAAGAATTTCTTTCTATCATTAACGCTTTGCGTTACATATGCGAAACGAAATCGCGAGATATGGTTTTCTAAATAGATTTTTCTCCTACTAAGGGTATAGATGGGCGCTAAATAATTAATTAACATAACTTGCTTTAATCATAAATAAATATGATGCTCAAAATATGCATAATAAGAAAACGGGAACAATCTTGCAAAAGCAATTTCCAAGAGGGCACTTATGTCAAAGTCTTTAATCCTCTTAAATAATAATAAGTTTGTATATATATATATATATTTATACGCCAATGGTCAACAGACTGACAAATAATTGCAGAATGTGGTTCTAAATCAAGCTGCATAACGAACCAGTGGATTTATTCTTTTGTGCTTATGAACGTGAGCACAAAATTACCAAACTCTACCTTAGTCGCAGTGCATAGCATGTACATAAAATAAATTAAACGTTTACAAAACGCTTTCGTTTGCTTTTTGTGACTCTCTTTTAGAAATAAAGAATCTGACCTCAAACCTAAACACACAGACTCGCGTCTATTCTTTTACTAATTTTACTACTGTTATCGGTAAAAGTGAATGAAACAAACCGAAAAAAGAATTCATTAAAAAAAAATATATATTTTCAATAAAATTCAAATTTCGTTCCTTTCGTAAAAATTCATGAAAAAATTACGTCAAGTGTAGAAAAAAAGTTTAAAAATTCACAAAATCCAATTCGCGTTTTAAACGCAAAGTTAAACGCAATATATGTGAACCAGGATCATACTTTGCCTTGCAATGGTCAACGTTAACCTTATGGGTCAATGGCATCCTAAGGCGATATATAGGCGTTGATAAATCGACATCTGTTTCCGTAATGAAAAGATTCATTTTGTCGACTGTGACAGTTTCTTCCGGCAGAGCGATTTCCAGCAATAAATCTTCACAACTGGCTGTGGCATTAGTGCGATTACCCATTTGCAGGAAGACGTCTTCTGTTCCCACGGCCTGACAATACGACATATTGTATTCAGGTATTTTGCGATTATCCAATAATTCCTCTTCTTTCTCTTGAATTTGCTCCCACTCCTCCACGGTTTTCGGTAGCGGGTCCTTCGATTCCTCTTTGGCAGGAGAGTAAGGAGATTTAAAGTTGTCTTTCTTGCCTGTCGCATCACAACCATTTGTCTGTCTAGCGGGTTTTGCAATAGTGCCCGGCGCTAAAATGAATGAATTCTTGTTATATGCGGAAAAATCGTTTTTTTACAGAATATTTTTCTTTTTCTTTTAAAACTTACTTAATTTATTGCATACTAAAGACTCTTCTGCATTGTCGCTATCTGAGTCGTCTTTCTCATCTTTCGGATACAACAAATTTTGCAATAAACGTATTTGATCCGGATTATCAAATAAAGACATTGTGCTGCTGTGCCGTTGTTAGTATTCTTAAAGCTGCTCCTCTTCTTGCTTATAGTGCTGCTTTTACGATGGCTTATGCTTGTTGTTTTATTTATGCAATTATTTGAACAAAAATATAAAAATAAATTTTTTTTTCGTGGCTTCCTTCACTCAATAAGAAAAAAGTTTATATGAAAATCGACCAAAAAAAAAAAAAACATTTATTGACGTTAGATTGATTAAACAATATATCAAGGTTGCCCGGTCGTTTGCTAAGCTTGCTGTTGTTACGGCAATTGAGTTTTTTTTTCTCCCACTTATTTACTTTCTCTTCTCTAAGAGCATCGGGCGCAACTGCCACGAAGGATTGCTTCACTCGTACAAATGCAGGAAAAAAATGAAAATTCATATTTGCTGGTCTTCTGAATTTTATTTATTTTTTATTTTTATTTTTTTTTTTATTATTATTAATTTCTACCACCTGGAGAGTGTATTAAACGAGTTTTTTTTTTTTTTCCTTTTTTTCGTAGGCATACATTTCAAGTATTACCTGAAGAGTTTATAGGAACTTTTTAAATGTTTATAGGTATGTAAGAGGGTTTATTGAATATAAGCACTGCCTTTCCTAACGGCGGACGGGAAATAGATTTAGTTTGTTATTGAATTTGTAACCTGAAGGAATGTTTACATTAGTTTGCCAATGAGTTTCCATAAAGCAAATGCTTTTTGAAAATTTTGTGTTAACTTTTCTCTACTTTAAGAACCTTTTAGTTGAATTAAAAGTTATTCCCCATAGGCGACGGACAAATATTAGCCATATTAGAGAAAGTTCTTCTTGTCTAGTTTGTAGCGCAAATTCTACGAATTTTCATTGCCTACTTTGCAGTTGCAAAACAATGCATCTCTACTAACAACTGCACGATTTTCAAAGGTTTTAATTGGAAAAGTAATTTGTAGAGTCTTGTTAAGAAACGACTTGATTTTTAGTTAACTAGAACGAAACTATAGCATAAAACTCTCACTCTTAATTGTAGATATTGCTAGACAACAATTTCATAAAGAGCCCAAGGGCAATAGAGGCTGGCCAAGTGGCCATTAGGTTATCGATATTCGATTTTTCAACGCAATAACACAGAGGAAAATCTGATATACTAATTTTATTAAGCCGTTTGTAGCATCCTCGTAATCTTCAACAATTCGAGTATCGATTTATGAAATTAATTTTGTACACAGCCTTTTTCTTTTTTTTAAGCACCCAACTACGATTAAAAAACAAGACAAGTTCTTGACCAGAATTTTTCAATATTCGTTAACTAGATTCTCATAAGCTGTCTGATCGCAAGGCAGGTTAAAGATCCGTTCGCTTATTTATCTCTTTTTTGTATACTTTGTTACTGCTCGGACTAGTTTACAGAAACTAGAAACTATTCATAACATACATTTCGTATTATTTGTATTAACCTTTTTTTAGTAATTGTGGGCGATATTTTCGGTCGCGATGCCGAAATGATTTTCAAAGCTTGCTCTTGAAATTATTGTCTAAAATGGTCGGAATAAAATTCACATTCATTATTGTCGTCGAAATTTTTTTCATTTATGCTACTGTACAGAAGTACACATCCATCCTGCTTCGGGCGATGAATATATGAGATTCGCCTGTAGAGCGAATACAATTTTCCACTTGTTTTTTTTTTTTTTTGCGTTTTTTTCAAATCAATTAATATATTACAAAAGTCGTGTATGAACACAGCAATGATTAATTGCTTTAATGGCACAATAAGGAGTTTTCTGTTAATTTTCAATAATCTCTCTCTCTCTATAACATATTTAAAAAAAAAATAAAAATAAAAATAAAAATACAGAATGGTAAAGAAGAGAAGAGAAAAGGCAAAGGAAAAGTTTAACCATTTACTTATATTGTACATTATTATATATGAAATCTGAGTAAAATTTTATAAAAAGAACTCTTCAGGAGAAGAACTCAAATAGCTCTTTAATACATACGTAATATGAAATATAAGGAGAATAATCGAGAATAATCTTACAATAGTTATTTAGCAATATTTATCTTTAAAACAGAAATTCGTTTTATTTAACTTCTTCACCGACGAAACTTAAACCCACGCAAGGGATGAGGCAGAGAGAATAAAGTCTAAAAACAAAAAGGAACAAAAAAGAAAAAGAAACAAAAAAAACTGGAACAGTCAACATAAAATTGGTTTTTCAAGAGTTTTAAATAAGACCTCAAAATTGAACTCAACTGCACCCGAGCAGATATTTGCGTTGGTTGACACCGTATCGTATAACATGGATTACTCTTTGTATGAATGAATTTTAAACAAACGAGAAAGAAAACTACAACTAAAACAAATGTCAAAGAAATCTACGCTCTATTGCTTTTGTGTCTTTTGTTCAAATAAAACATTTTAATTCATTTATTTGAAACGTTGTTATGGCAATGTAGAGTATTTCACATATGCATATATACGAGGCTTGGCTGACAAGTAGTTTCTTTACTTTCACTTAAGTAAAAAAAAATAAACTTTTTTACATTCTTTCTATTTATTTATTTTTTTTTTTTTTCGACTTTATGCATCAACATAGACTTCTTCAAGAATGATAGAAGTAAGCCAACGGTTCTCTAAAATTACCTTTTTTGTAGAATGACTGACTCAAGACTCAAGACCTTTAAAATGCGCTCCACTTTTCACAATTATCTAATCATTTGATCCGAAACCTTTCGCCTGGAGCACTCTTTTGAGATTCATCCATCCATAACAAACGCTGGAATTTAAATGTGCAGTGTTTAGTTGATGAGGTAGTAAATCAAATAGCGACATGTAACTCGGCTTGTTTATCTCGCTGTAAGCAGACGATCCGTCCGGTCAATTTTCTCATTCCTAAATCGTACTTAAATGTAAGGCAAAGACATGGTCTAGACATGTTCATAGCCTTTGCTACCTCTCTAACCGAAACCCGACGGACGGTCGCCCAGCAGCATTTGGGGAACTTGGGCGATGTTTTCATTAGTGATTACAATATTTGATCGTCTGGCACTTTCATCGTCAACCAAGCTGGTGCAGCTATGTTTCAATGCAGCTACAGAACATATCGCCGTATTAAATGATGGTGCAAAAACACTGCACAAATCGTCCAGCTCGTCTTTAATATTTGTTGGGATACTGCCTTTCGAAATTCCGCAAATCGCCTCATATGCAAATTTGTAGTTAGCATGTGGTCAAAGTGGTCGTTGCGCAAACATGGATAGATCAATTTGTAAGAGGGCCTAATTCTGGTGATTCAGCTAAAGAAAAGATCCACAATTTTAAAACCTGCTCAAAGGCGAAACATGTAGAATAGATTATCTTCCTTATTGCGAGCTATGAATGGTCAAAAAGCCAATTGAATTCAATTTCATGAGATAATGAGATCAGCAAAAGTGCTATTTTAATAATGATCGATGCAACCATTTGAGAAGCGGCAAGTATTGGCCATATTTATTGTGAGAGACGAACGAACGGTTGAAACATTTCGACCGACCATCGAAAAGTAAGGAACCACCAGTTAAGCGACACAGCTCCGGCGCACTTTTAGTATAACGACCATGACCAAAAAGTTAGATTAATATTCAGAATAATTGTTAGCATTGTTACAGACATCCATGTCAAATTTCATATCATAAACGTCATTGATATTCATATACTTATTTTCATATATTTACATTGCGTAATTTTGTTGAGCAAAGGACTGTCAACCGGTTATAAAATTACTACGAAAGATGAGTGTTCAACGTATACACACGACCCGGATAGAACCGATCACTCGAACGAATTTCGTGCGAAAGGTGCGCTAACACCGAAAGAACTGCGCCAAACTTGCTTAAAGATCAAAGTGACGTTAAAAGTCTTCTTCAAAAATTATTTGGGAGTTATTGCGCCGTTTGCGTGAAGCTATCCATAGAAAGATGCCGGAACAGATTTAAAAAAGGAAAAATTAAATTGGTTTTACGTTTCGGACACAGCAGTAGTATTAGAGATGTTATAAAAACAAGTAACGGAAAGTTCAAATAATTGAGGCGTAGCTCCTTTTTTCGATTTTTCATAAAACAAATTTTTATTTTTACCTTAATCGATGCTTGGAACATTGTAGGATAAAGGCAAAAAATTTATTATCTAAAACCGGTTTTTGTCTATAAAAAATTTCAGGCCGTTTCTCAAAGCGCCCCAAACAGACTGCTATGGCCATATGAATGCTGGCTGGAAAATTGGAACTTAATGTCTTTTTGGTTGATTTATGTTTTCCGGTCTTTATAGCTCTAGTTGTGGCCCTAACGAATATCTTTAAAAAGTATTTATGCTCATTTAAAAGCATTTCCAAAGGGAAAATATGTTAATGCAACGTCATCAAAGCGACCGTTTATTGCGCTATGCCATTAAGACCGATTTGAAAGTTGCCGTCGGATATTGAATTCAATAATTTTTTGCCGCTTTACACGAAGTGTGAAACACGCGGTTCTGTCTTCGACAGCAATGCAGCCACAGAGTCATTTTCGAGCAATAAATCATCGAGAATGAAAAGGATATTTTAACGTGGGAAGGCACGGTATTCTATTGATTTGCTGAATAACAGAAGAAGGACAAGAAATGTGCATATGACGTTTCTATCCAACACTGAACTGTCAATTTGTAGATTGATGTAGGCATCATTTATAATTCTTAGGAGACCTATTTACAAATTATTTACAGGCTCTTATAGTGACAATGCTTCAATTCTTCTTCTAGTTTTCACCGCTTGAGTATTAGGATTCACTTATCTAAACTCGATTTATTCGCTTTCCGCAAACCTTCTGCTTAAGTATCCTTTTGCAAGCAAGTTATAAGATCCGAGCTTCATTGTGACATTAAACCACGTGAAACGTTCTGAAATTAGGTGCATGACGCAGGTCCCGCCTCATAAGTGTATGTTTGATTTCAACGTTCTTAAAATTTTGTTCCACAGAAAATCGGCTAATTTGCGTCGAGATTCATTTTATCATAGGTACGACACAATCTATAAGGCTTTTCATACCTCCTTAAAGAGGTTTTTCTTGCAACATAGTTTTTCGAAATATGCCATCAGAAATTTTTCTCGTTTTCATTTCTCCCCTCATTGGCATTTTTTATGATTTCTTCAGTATATTATTCTCTGTAGTAGCAAGTAGGCGTTTTCGATAAGTTGAGTTAAACAAGTAACAAGTAAGATTAGTAACAAACGATTGCTTTTTTTTTTTGGTGGGAAATTGATTGTTTTATTCATACGCTCGCCAAACCAACAAAACTCAGTGTTTCTAAAATTGCCTGCATATTGCAATCACTATGGATATGTGGTATTAAATGGTTGAATCCCTTAAATTAAAGCTGCCTCGCTAGAATATTTCCGAAGTTTTCGAATTTTTTAATGTTTTTTAAAAATATTTTCTTTCAATAATTAAACATATGCTTATGCTCTTTTGACTACTATTACTACTCTGCTAACTCTTTGCTCTCATGCTAAGGAAAACTATTAAAAACACGCTTTTTTTTTTTTAGGTCACTACAGTCGTATCACCCCTTAAACAACTATACGATATTATACGATATTCTGTGAATAGTTTTCGTATAGGCCTTATATAGGTCTTAAAAGCTGGTCTAAAATTTTCATTGCTAACCACAAAATATTTCCCCGTGTGATTTCACCAAATTCAATGTTAATCATCGCAGGTGACTTAGAACAAGTTTTAATTAAAAGTACGAGAAAAGTTTTCCTTTCAAAAAATGAAAAAAAGAAAAAAAAAACGACGAAAGGCTTTTGATTTAAACATCAGTACTATATATGCACATATAGATACGTACTTACACTATTTGCTTACTAATATTCGTTAGCATACCGCACATCTTGTAAAAGAGAAATATTTTGATTACCAAATTTTACTAATTTGAAAAGTTTTTCAAATCTTTGAGGTGAACTATAATAATTACTAGAAATTAGTTTATAATTATAATGAAGCCTATAATGTACATAACATGATAACTCGGCTCGGCTCGGTCATGCTTAAGTGGAGTTTACAGTTTTATGATAATAAGAAAAAAAAAAAGAAAATAAATTAACAGCAATATAGGCTATAAAGCTTGACACAACTTTTGTAAAGTTCATACAAAAACTTTATGGAAAAGTTGAAAGTCATTTAAATCAACAATCGATTATTAAAAGAAAATTATTTAATGATTTAAATAAGCAATGCTGTTGAAAGCTATAGAGAACAATAGCTAACCAAAGAAATAAGTTTTTCTCTTAATTCTTTCACATCCGTTACCGGACGTTGGATACTTAAAAACAGGTAGAAGTGTTTTCCATCTAAGCAAACATGGTTGCGATAAGTTTGAAGTTTCAAAAAAGATTAACTTCTAAATTCTTTTACAGTCCCCTAGCCGTAACTTCAAAAAAGACAATGTCACATGAAACACAAGGCTTCTCAGTAACATACATTCGCTGTCGTTTTTAGATCTCTCTAACAATGGTCTAATGCAATCACGTATAAGAAATGAATATGCAGTCTTCCCTGTTTTTTCGTCGCTCTGAAATTAACCCAATCTACTCACTTGCACCGAATGAATTTGCTTGCTTCGTTGCTGTTAGATTACGCTGAAACAAATCCAGTCTACTCGTTCACAGCTGAAGAATATGCTCTCCTTCTCGTTTTCACGTCTCACCAACGCTAATCCAATCTAGTTGCTTATGTCTAATCTCTTTTTTGTTCACTTACTAAGAACGAACGGGTTCGCACGAAATTTTGTTCAATTCCAAGAGATAAATGCCTTAGAGAAATTATAAGGTTTTTAGTCGCCATAAGAAAAACGTAAACATCAGGTTGGACGTTTTGCTCAAAGATATCATCGGTTTGGGGGACCACCGCATACACTAACAGTTAAGAAGCACGACTATCGACTGATTCCAGATTCAATTCCCAGTGCGATAGATCATGGTGCGATTACGATTGGCGTATGAAAAAGTAATTTATCCCATGCGACGACTTGATATATATGGCAAAAAATATCCTGCCAAGAGGTGCCGCTTGTCTGTTATTATCTTGCGCATGAAATGTCTTATCATCATAGCATGACCTACGAACTCTGTATACGATATGGATTTGAAATCAAAGTCTTATCATAGCTATGTAAACATTCTGTCCAAAAATATTTATAATCAATTGCCCGTCTAAACTGAAATTTAGATGTGTTTGCCGTTGCCCTTCGATCCAAAGTAAAAAAACTTCATTATCTTTGATAAGTTAGCTATTGTTAAAAACTTTGTGCAATAAGATTGTTTTTTTTATATTTTCATTTAGATAAATTAAGAATTTTATTAAATTCTTTTTTTTGTTTTTTGCATAAAAACAAAAGCAACGATTTTTACAACACAACAACAGCAGCAACAGCACAACACATTTGCTTTGTAATACACGATAGTTTGTTTTAACATGTTTTAGACACTTTATTGACCAGTCGTGTATTGTACATGAAGCAAATATCTTTGTTTTGTTTCGTTGTTCTTTTATTTTAAATATTCTGTTGTTAGATATTTTTGCTGTTACACAAACAGCAGCATGCATGTTACGAAACAAGGCTCACATAAAATATATATATTTATATATATATATATATACATATATATATATATGTGTCGAGTGCAAATTTGTTCAATAGTATTTTTATGTTTTTATGCATTCTTCTTTCTTCCTATTACTCTCTCAGTCAGATAAATATAAATATTTCATGTTAACTTTAAAGCACACGAACATGTATGTTATTATATACATATAAATATATACGTAACGATGTGATATATGAACGTACATGAATGCATATGCAAACCATCGCCGATTTACTGCGTAGTTGGGATTCATTTCTTTCTTGAATATCGGACCACCGCACATCGTGCCGATGTATTCTCTATATGCCCACACATTCTGTGCCAACCGGGAAATGTTACAAATAAAATCGCATTTAAATTATACGATATGGTTAGCGCAGTGTTTCAGCTTTTTAACACGTATTCTAGTGGTTCACTTTACACAAAAGAAAAAACGAGAAATGATTTTATTTTTAAATTACATCTTAATAAAAAATAAGAAAAACATCAGCATTTGTGTGTGTTACGGTCACTCGAGCACTAACATTTTAATAATCTATACCACGAAACAATAGAGAAGCACGCCCCAAAAATCCATTTATTACAGAGTTTATTGTGAAGCGTTTAGTATATATTTCTGGAATTATGTGTTAAAGCATACATGTATATACATAGATTCTTGCGGAACTTTTCACTCAAACGTAATAATTTCAATGGCTCGTAAGCCATTGAAAATCATCAAGGTCTTCGAAACCTGTCTTCACTTGCTGCACAACTTTCAATAAGATTGAGTAATCTGTCTCTCATCTGGATACTTAGGCAATTGATGATGAATGATGAAGCTATTCCATATGTGAATGATTTCCTTTCTCGGAAAGAGATCACAAAAGAATTTGGCATTCCATTGTTGCTTGGTAAACGAAAGCGCTACTAATAACAAATGGTTCCAGGAACCGATGCATGAGAAAAGAAACTATGCCCTGGTTTTTCTTTTTAAGACCCCCCAAAGAAACCGACTATAATTATTATTTATTGACATTCGGTCAACATGCCGACACGATAGATCTTTATAGTAAAGACCTTTACATGAGCTGCGAGAATCTGAATGACTTTGATCCTGCCTTTATGGAAAATCATATTCCGAAATAAATGCGTTTTGAGATTCGTTGCAGATGTGTTTCTTTTTTTTATTGTAGTATTAATTATTTATTCATTTTCATCATTAGCCTGCAATACCAAGTCCAGTAAAGTGCCTTTCCACATTTAAATACTATTCTTGAGTCCCTTTCCTTGAAGACTCTTTGCTAGAATGTTTCGCTATTTTCACATCTGTCCAAGACAGATCTATAGGCGAGTTCCTAATTAATAGCAAAACGGTCAAGCCAAACATTCTATTTGTTAGCAGAGACATTTCAAATCGCTCTCACTCGCCTATCAATTCAACGGTCGTTTCGGTATTACTGTTCGCGGATGCTGTTGAAGGACATTTTCTAAAGAAATTTTTTAGAAATCAACAGACAATACATATGAACGCTGCGACTTCCTAGCAGGGATTTATTTCAACACTTATAATCTTTTAGAAGCTCTTAGAGAAGATCGCGCACTTTCGCGCAAAACGTCTATTTCAAGTAATGAATTTTTTCCCTCTATTCTAGAAAATTTAAAGCATCTTTTAAGCCAATAGAAGAAAAATAGATTTTCTGAAAAGCCTAGAGTGATATTTCCCCTTTTGAAAGCAACTTTTCGATGAAAAGCAACGACCGTTTGTTAGCGACTGAGATCATTTGATCGCAAAAGCTTCTTGCTAGCATTGACTAATCTTTGACCACTTATAACGCACTATGCCAGTTTATAAGAAACGTGACGATCAAGCCTGTATGCTCGGGTTTAATTCTTACTATAGTAGGCCGTGTTTAAATTATGATTAACTTGTAAGTGTAGATGCTCAGGCATACAACACACAGATTGCGGCTAGACTCTATTCATCTTTCTCCCTGACCAATGTTGTAGCGCTGTGGGCGGTCAATAGCCACAAAAATAATAGTTTCTTTGACATGGCATCCATTTTGATATTCCGAAGGGATATGGACTTGAAGACCAGTTTCGTTATGAAACAAGATCATTAAGCCATGCAAGCTACAAACAAAAGGAAAGCTTGTAACCTTTTACTCAGAATACGATTGCAAATGTAATTTGCACAGTTTTTGGCATTTCGTCGTTGTTTTTCAAAAGCTTTTTTTCTCCTCCAATTCACAAAAGTTTCCTTTCTAAGGGATCGCGAAATTATCTTTCAGAATTTCAAAGCGCACCCAGCTAGAAATATGGTTGGCTGTCAAAGTAAGTCACCCAATTACTTCGAGCGGGCTAACCGATTTCGGAAGTTGTTCTTTTCCTTGCAGCACAGTACAGTACAGATGTGTTTTTGGAATCTTATAAATACAAAATTCTTAATCATGAAAATATTAAATAATATATATAGACCTGTGAGAAATCGTATGAAATCATCGAGACAAAATGTTGATAAGTTAATGCAAGACTCGTATTATAGAAAAAAGTCAAACTTTACTAGGGAAAATACAAACCGCAAATACGCAAGACAGTTGTAATGAAATGCATTTTGACTGTGTGCACAGTTCCAACGATAAAAACTTTATTTTATGTTAAATGAGATTTAAAAAAAGACAATTAAAACATTTTTAGTTTTTTGTAGTTTGATTTTAATTTTTGTTTTGGTTATTGTTTTGGTTTTGCATTTTCGTCGTCGTTTTTTCTTTCTCTTTTTTTTTTTTGCGTTAAATCATTTCGCTGAAGTGAATCATATTGCCTTCTCTCGAACAATGCCGCTTTCCGACGTAATGGCATACAGGAACTGAAGAGAACATCGTAATCGTGATGGCATTGATAATAATCATATTTATGTTATTCGTTTTTCCCTTTTCCCACATATTTTGCCAAACAATAAAAAGCAAAAAAAAAAAAAACGATATTTATTCAGTTCAAAACGAATTTTCTGATACCGACGGCATATTAAAAGCCTTTTTTTATGTGCTGTGCAATGAATTTCAAGTTTCGTCAATTGTAGACTTACTTAAACGTACAGGTTTAAAGAGAGAAGCTCCGTTAATTATGACTGAGATCAAGGGATAGGGAAACTAACGATGAATTCCTTACTGTTACGCATCGAATGACTTAATTAGGATATTAATATTTATGATGATGGATTGAAAAGAAAGAAACATGAGATGGCGTGTTAAGAGCAATATGCGGTAACGATGTGCATATGGATAGAAAGGAAATATGCAAAGATGAATAAATGATGGAACGTAAGCAACGTCACGTTAATACGATTTTCTTTGAAAATATCAGGAAATTAAATAAAAATTACATTCACAAAAAAAAAAAAAAAAAAAAGTAATAATAATAATAATAATCGAAAAATATGCTATATTTTATAATTCTCGCAACTCGCTTGTTACACATAAATATAAATGTCATGTAATGTAATGTAATGTAATTGTTTGTGCAACGTGGGCATGTGTACTGCTGCGTATATATATATATATATATATATATGATGGTGTGGATGCGTTTGCAAGTTGTGTAATTTGTAATTTTTGTATATGAAATGTTTAACGAAATGCGATATTTAATTACGATTTACGAATGCGCGCACATATACACATACATACGCTTACACACAATGCTTTTTACATTTTCAAACTTTTCTGCCTTAATATGTAAAATTAAACATACAGCCTCTAGGTGTTGATAATATGTTTTAATGTCAGAATTGTCACTCATCAAATGCTTTCACCATAATATACTCTGTATGTTAATACGTACTGTATGCACGCACTGCTGTTTATACTCAGCATACTATGCATACAAATAATCTAGAAAATATATACGTACGTTAAAAAAAAAAAAAAAAAAAAAAACAAGGAAATAAAATTACAGCCATACAGTAACTGAGACACAAATGAAACTCCTGTCTATGTGCATCTGCAAGTAATAACTGAATAAATAGTATTAAAGTAGCAGTAAAACATACAAAGAAACTACGGTTATTTCCCATACTTAAGGAAAATTCTTTTGCCAGAATCTCTATACGTAACCAAATAAGAAGTCTTGCGGTGACTTAAGTATTATGACAAAGTTTTTTTTTTTATTAACGGAATTATTTGCACTCTAAACTTAAGAAAATTACATTCGACCGTCATAACTGTCATCTTAAAAAAAAAAGACTTAAAAATGGGAAGAAAACTACATTTTCATGCTCTATAATACTGAGTGGGCGCGGCTGATGTTTTTCTATTTTCAAAATAAAAGTGGAAATTTTTATCGTTTATGTTTTGCATTTTATGAATAACAAGCGAAAAAACACGGAAAACAAAATTATTCACAATTTTTGTTGCATGTAGACTCGT